AATGCAGTAACCCAGGCAAGATGCCAGCACTCAGGAGGCTGAGGCAAGAGGATTAGGAGTTCAAGGCCAGCCTGAGCTGCATAATGAGACACTGTCTCAAGAAAAAAATATTATATTGGCATAAATATAGATGTATAGACCAACAGAACACAATAGAAAGACCAGAAATAATCCTTACCTATATCCTGAAATGATATTAAACACGGATGCCAGTGCCAGTATTATACAATAAAAATAGAATATTTTCAACAAGTGGTTTTAGAAAAACTGGATATAAATATGCAAAAGAATTAAGATAGACCTTTATCTTACGATCTGAAGATAAAACCTGAAACTATAGCTGAGTGTGATGGTGTTGCCAGATTCTGGGGTGCTAAGGACTCCTCCAGAGATTCTTTTTGAGTTGTTCTTCTGCTGAACAAAGAATTGGAGCTGGGCGCGGTGGTGCACACCTGTAATCCCAGCACTTGGGAGGCTGAGGCAGGAGGATCGTTGTGAGTTTGAGGCCAACCTGGGCTGCAAAGTGAGCTCAAGGCCAGCCTGAACTGCATAGTGAGACCCTGTCTCAAAAAAAGGCAAAAAAAAAAAAAAAAGAATTGGATAAAACAACCCCAAAAGGTAGCAAGGTTTTATATTTATTAAAAGTAGGAACAGAGACATGCTCTGCAGAGCAAATGCAGGCCAATAAAAGGTAAGAAAAGCGTTCCACTCTCCAGGGTGAGAGCAGACCATTGTGAAAGAGACAGCACAACAGCCAAGAGCTCCAGGACACCATTCTGCATAGCCCACTCCCCGGGCTGATGTCACTTCTAGACCATCCTACCAAAACACCTGCTGGGGTCCTCCCCCAGAAGAATGGAAAATATTATTTTGACACTTCACATTTGCAAGAGAGAGTATTGACAGCATCAGTTTCAGATTCTGTATTTAAAATTTCTGGCTTATATATCCAATGGTGCAGACTTTGAAATTTGTAAGAACAAATGTGTTTAAAAAAAAAAAAAAAATTGCTCTTGTTTTGTGACCTTGTGTACTTTTGAAATCAAATCAAAAGGTTCTCTGAAAAAAAGAAAAAAGAACAGAAAAACAGCACTTTCTGATTGGTCCCAGGTGCAGGGCTTGGAACTGTTTCTCTGCACATGTTCTGAATCTCCGTGATTCACAGGTCAAGCCCACTTGCCCAGCCAATTTGCCACACTCTAATCTTCTGCCTCAGCAGTACCTGCCCGTAATCCCAATACACTGGGAAACTAAGTCAGAAGGATCAAAGTTGTGTGCCTAGTGTGAGCAACTTAGCAATTTAGCAAGATCTTGCCTCAAAATAGAGGAGACTGGGGATATAGTTCATTGCATAGCAAAGGCCCTCTGTATTGGGGAAAAAAAAACCTGAAACTATAAAAATCTTAGAAGAACTGGGTGTGGTGGTGCATATCTATAATCCCAGCACTCAGGAGGCTGAGACAGGAGAATCACTACAAATTCAAGACCAGCCTGGGCTATAAAGTGAGCTCAAGGCCAGCCTGAACTGCATAGTGAGACAGTGTCTCAAAAAGACAAAAAAAATCTCAGAAGAGAGGCTAGCCAGGAATGATGGTGCACACCTGTAATCCCAGCACTTGGGAGGCTAAGGCAGGAAGATCACTGTGAGTTTGAGACCAACCTGAGCTACAAAGTGAGCTCAAGACCAGCCTGAACTGCATAGCAAGACCCTGTCTCAAAAAGACAAAAAAAGAAAAAGAAAAAGAAGAGGGGCTGGGGATGTAGCTCAATGGCACAGAGCCTGCCTGACAAGCTCAAGGTTGTGAGTTCAATTCCTGGTACCCCCAAAAAATAAAATCTTAGAAGAAAGCATAGGGGGAAAACTTTACGACATCTGGGTTGGCAGTGGCTTCTTGGATGACACCAAAAATACAAATAAAAAAGGAAAAAATAGACAAACAAATGTGACTACATCAAACATAAAAACTTCTTCCTGGAAAGGCATCAGTCAACAGAGTCAAAAGGCAACCTACAGAATGGGGGAAAACATTCTGCAAACCATATATTGAGAGAGGAGCTAATATACATAATATGTGAAGAATGCTTACAATTCACCACCACCAACAATAAACCCAGTTTTTAAAATGGGTAAAGGACTTAAAGAGACATTTCTCCAAGAAGATACACAAGTGGCCACAGCACATAAAAAGATCCTCAACCTTACCACCTTATCAGGGAAATGCAAGTCAAGAGCACAATGGAGGGTAGGGGAGAAGGGGATAAAGGAAGACTGGTTAATGGTTCTCAAAATAGTTAGATAGGAGGATTAAGCTCCAGCATTCTATAGCACAGTAGGGTGACTATAGCTGACAGTGATTTATAGTACAATTCAGAAATAGCTGAAAGAAGGTGGGTGTGGTGGCACATGCCTGTAATCCCAGCACTCAGGAGGCTGAGGCAGGAGGATCCTTTCGAGTTAAAGACCAGCCTGTGCTACAAAGTGAGCTCAAGGCCAGCCTGAACTGCATAGTGAGACCCTGTCTCAAGAAAAAAATTTAAATTTAAATTTAAAAAATAGCTAAAAGAAAGCCAGGCATGGGGGCACATGGCTATAATCCCAGCACTTGAGAGGCTGAAGCAGGAGGATCGCTGCAAGGCCAGCCTCCACTACATAGTGAGTTCAAGGTCAGCTGCTACTACGTAGCCAGACCCTGTCTCAAAAAAACAAATAGCTAAAAGAAAATTTCTTTTTAATATTCCCAACACAAAGAAATGATAAATGTTTGAAGTGCTATATAGGCTAATTACCCTGACTTGATCATTGTGCATTGCATGCATGGGTCAGCATATTGCACTGTAAAGCAAGGTGTGGAGACCCATGCCTATAATCCCAGCAGAAAAAATCGAATCTTTGTACACTCTTGATGGAAGAATAAAATGGTGCAAAATTGTGGAAAACAGTATGAAGATTTCTCAAAAAAGTAAAATAAATTTCTGGAGCAGTTCTGGAAGTTCTTTTTCATGAGTGTCTTTACCAGATGTGATGAAAAATCCAGTGAATGCTGCTACCAAGTGCCATCCACGAGAAACATTAAGTGCGTCTTCATTCACCGTGTTCACCGGATCTGGCACCAGGCGACTCCTGGTCCTTCCTCAAAGTCAAAATGACCATAGAGGATAAATATCATTAATTAATTCAGGACAATGAGGCAGCTGCAACTGTGCAACTCAGAACATTCATGAAAGGGGACTTCCAGAACTGCTTCAGACAGTGGTAAGAATAAGGGGATAGCTGTGTTTGAAGTCAGGGGGTATTTGGGGGAATTACTTTCACTGTACTAATTTTTTAATTTAAGCATTCACTGTACTTTTCAATCATATCTAATAAATAAACACATTAAAACCAAAAGCAGAATGATGCTTACTGGAGGAGAGGGAGTCAGAGTTGCTCAATAGGTCTAGAGTGACAGTCATGAAGATGATGAAGTGTAAGGGAGCTGTTGTACACCGCAATGTGCATAGTTAGCTTGTAGCCCTGGATGCTACAGAGACTGGGGCCGGAAAATCACATCGGCCTGGGAATTCGAGGTCAGTGTGGGTAAACCTTGCTGTCTCTTTAAATTAAAAAAAAAAAATGTAAACCCCAATGTGCATATAGTTAATAATACTGTAATGTACACTTAAAAGTAAGGTAAGTTTATGTTGTTGGGGGTTTTGTTGCCATGATGGATGGATGGGTGGGTGCATGGGTGGATGGGTGGACAGATGGACACACATACAGGTGGGTAGACAGCCAGATAGGACAGATGGAAGGATAAGTAGATGGATGGATGGATGGATGGATGGGTGGGTGGGTGAGTGGATGGGTGGATGGATGGATGGACATATGGCTGGGCATATGGACAGATGGATGGACAGACAGACAGAGGACAGATGGGAAGATAGATGGATATATGGGCAGATGGATGGCTATAGATAAATAGATAGATAGGTAGATGGATCATACACAGACACACACACACACACACACACAAATGTGAGCAGATTTTTTTACCACTGATTGAGGGCCACATAATAGTATTTAGCACACATAAAGGACATGCCTTTCTTTTTTTTTTTTTTTTTTTTTTTTTTTTGTCTTTTTTGAGACAGGGTCTCGCTGTGCAGTTCAGGCTGGCCTTGAGCTCACTTTGTAGCCCAAGCAGGCGTCGAACTTGCAACAATCCTCCTGCCTCAGCCTCCCAAGTGCTGGGATTACAGGCACGCGCCACCACGTCCAGCTGCCCTCACTTGTAATTGAGGAAAGACTATTGTTCTGGGAAGGTGGGCAAGGAAGGCCAGTACAACGCCTGGACAGCCGGCCTGTGTTGCCAAGGAAGACCAGTTTTAGAAGGCTGAAGATGTGCAAGCCTGCCTGAGCATCTTCTGGGAACTCTTAAACTTGGTGTACGTTGCTCCCATCTGAAAACCCCTAATCCAAAGCCCTGAAGGCTGAGCACTGCATGTTCCTTCTGGAAAACTCAGGAGAAAAACAGAAACTGGCATAGTCCCCTCCAGCAGCTACAAATCACGTTTCCTTTTACCCTCTGGCCTCCCACGCACTTCTCCCTTGTACTCCTACTTCCCTGTCCCACAACCCCGCTGGGTATTAGAATAACCTATTGATGAGGTGTCAGAGCCTCCGTGCTACACGTGGCCCTTCTTATAGAAGTGCAGTGAGGACTAAACGAGACCTACTGTGTGCCTGGCTGTGAATCTAAGTCTGCATCATGAGGGCCTGGAGATGGTGACAGGCAGCCTCGGGCTTATCCTGAGGAGGGAAGGACCTGCTGGCCCAGCAATGGCAGCAGTTCCTAGGATCCAGGAGCTGTGGCTTCCGTCTTACTCTACCTTTGTGGGTCTCTCTCTCTCTGAGATTCCTCCTGGCCTCAAGGTCCAGGGCAAATACTACCAAGGCAGAAGACCTTTCCAAGGGGTCTGAAGGGTTGAATGAGCATTACAAAGGGCCCAGAAGAAGGACGCAAACTCCAAATCCAGCCTTTATTGCCACTATTTCAGTGGCTGAGCAGAGGAATTCGCTCAGCCCTGCTTAGCTCATTCCCAGACAGAGGCAGCTGGAGGGGAGTCCCTGAAGGCGCTTCCCCGACCCCACCCCAGGAAGGGCTGGGGGCAAGGGCAAGGTCTCGGCTGCTGCTACCAGGTACAGGGAAACTTCGTCAGTAAACTCACCTCTGGGTGTCAGGACAGACCCAGAAGCCGGCAGGAACCAGGCAGGAACTGGACAGGAACATCAGGTGTTGGGAGGGTAAGTGGACTGAACAGGTAGGGAAATTCTGGGGGTCCCCAACAGCACTGAGATCTCACAGAGGAGCCCCGAGGGTCTGCTGGCTCCAGGGACTGAGACCCTGAGGAAAGCACCCTCAGACTGAGACACTCACAAAGAACCCTGATATCTCCGCTCCGCTGTGCAGCAAGGGTCAGGAGACACCCAGAGGGAGAAGGAGGAAAGGGGCTGGGAGGGCCACGGACACTGAGGGAGGCTGGGACGAACACCAGGGCTGGCAGGGGTCGGGCCTCTAGCTCTGCTGCTCCTGCTCGCGGATGAGGTTGGCGATGGGGCTGGTGATGCCACCTATCAAGGTCCAGTACTCGTCAAAGCTGATGCGCCCGTCATGGTTGGCATCCAGGTTATGGATGAGCTTGTCAGCAGCCTTTCGGTTTCCTGTGTCCTGCAGGGGAAACAGAGGTCAGCAGTATAGCAGGGCAGCAGCCCCAGGGAGCACCCATACAGGGCCCAAGGCAGAGTCCCAGAGTGGAGCCTGGGCAGCTGTGTCCTGAGAAAGACAGAGTCCTCCCTGGCTGAGCCTGGGCACCCTGAGAAGAGAGGCCTATAGGGAGGCAAGGGGATCCTGAAGTGGGAGGAACAGCAAAGATGGAGGCCTCCCTCCATCTGGAGAAGAGCACCCAGAAAAGGTGGGAAGGGGACAGGACAGGCCCCCTGGGGGAGGGCCACACCGTCAACATGTGGTTCAGCTCTTTCTGGAGCATCTTGCGGAAGCTGCTCTTGCTGATCTTGTTCTTGACCAGGCTGTGCTTAGACACGTATTTATAGAAGTTCTCCACCAGGACGACGACGGCCTTCTCCAGCTCCGTGTAGCAGTCCGCCATCTCCTTCCTTCAGGTCCTCACTGGCCTGGGCATCATAAAGAGGGAGATGAGGAGAGACTCCATAGGCCAAGCCTCCCACCAGCGCCCACCCTGAGCCCCCACCAGCCCCAGGACAACTCATCCTCTGGACAAGAGAAGAGGTGGGAAAGGGAAACACAGGAGTGTGGGGGTGGCCCTGGAATGACAGCTATGTGGTTCCTCTAATCCAGATGCTTCCCAGCTCAACTGCCCAGACAGGTTCTCCAGGTCCTTCCCCAGCCCCGGGCTCTGGGCTGCCACTGCAAGAGGCTCCTATGGGAAGAGGAGGAGGGAACTGCCCAGCCCAGCCTGCGGATTGCACCTGGCCTTGGACCCAGGGCCCTGGGGACAAGCACAGCTAGGAACTACTAGGATGGGCCAAGGCAGATGGGGGCCAAGGCAGTGGGTCTCTGTCTCTGACCCTCAGGAATGCAGAAACCCCAGCCCCAGGTAACAAAGGGAGAATTAGGGGCCTAAGAGAACCCCAACTCCTTCCCCAGGCTTCAAGACAGCAAATCCAGGGGCTCAGGCCATGGCTACCCTTCTCCAGGAACGGACAAGGCTCTGACCCAACAAATTAGATTTTGTGTACCACAACCACATTCTGCAAGCTTCCCCCACCCACCCGCCCACCCCTAGATAGACAGCAGGACACAAAAACACCCCCTACTCCATTACCTAAGGAAGAGCCAGGCCGGGTGCTGCCACAGCTGGAGACAGACCCTGGACACAGCAGCTGCAACTCTGTCACCCTCCAACCCAGGACAAAAGGCACTCACATTCCAAGCGGATATAGCCTTCTGAATAACAGGATATGAGGGAGCAGGCGGATCTATTATGTGAGTCGCCGCCCATGCCCAGAGCCCCCCCAAGTCAACCCTGGCAAATCAGACTCCCCTCCTGCCTTCAAGCCAAGGAATGAGCTCCAGTCGCCTTCACCCAGCTGGTCATAGCAAGAGGAGGTGGACACAGCAGGGACACAGCCTCCTGCCGTACAGGCCTACACACCCACCGTCTGATGTAGAAGGGAGAGCCCCTTTGCCAGGCCCTGCGGCCACCTCCTGCCCCTGCTGCCTGCATTCTGCTCTCTTCCGAGGTCGTTCCTACTGCCCTGCCTGTTGCTGTGCCCCCTCCACCCAGCAGAAACCATCTCATGGCACCGGCCCTGCCCAAGCCATGCCTCCTACAGGAAGGCCGCCTTGACCTCTGCCCTCAGTGTACTCCTCCCTAACTCCCACGGACATGTCCATCTGCACTACACCAGCACCTGCTGGGGCCGCTGTATTGTCTGAACCTCACGTCCAAGCTCAGGAACTTGAGGACACCTCTAAATCCTGGATGTTCAGCTGTCTTCCTTTTAGTCTCTGGGTCTCCCCTGGCCCAGCACCTTGTTTAAGGGAGGTATTCTAGAAATTTTTCACCTCCTTTCAGCCCTGACACCAGGCTCTTGACCATTTTTCTAAGCTTTTTCTTTTATGGAGCTTTTTCTGAAGGCAGTGTGAGACCAGGAAGAAGAGGGTAGGCCAGGCTGCAAAAAGGAAGGACATTGGAAAGGGGGGGTTCAGGCTGGGGCCTCCCTGTTGGGAAACCCTGCCCTCCTGTCCCTCAGCAGCCTGACCACTTTGGTCTGTGGCTGGAAGGATGACATATAACACAGGAACTGTAATCTTTCCATACTATTTGTTTGTTAAGTGTGTAACTGTGTGGTTCAATTTTGGGGCTTTGTTAGATGTTCGCCCACATCTCTGACTTCTAACAAATCAGGAGGAAAACTTTTTTTCAACCCATGATTGTCTGCTGTGCTGCCTTCGAAGGGGGAGTGAATGGTCTAGGCCCATGAAGAGCATTCCTGGTGATTCTGGAAACTGTGCCCATTTCGGGAAGGACTGCACCAACCTCATCCCACACCAAGCCTTGGGAGAGGGAAAGAACTCCGAGATCTCACTCCACCTTAACCATCCCAGACCTCTTCCTTCAGAGAGGGATCCTACGGGGAAGAAGAAGAGGAGAGGAGGAGAAGGAGGAAAAGTATGGATGTTTTGAGCGCTGCACCTCTGCTGCTCAGCCAGCAGGCCGCCCCCTCTCCTTCCACCTGCCTATCCTCAAACCCATCCCAAGCCCTCCCTGGACTCTGGATACACAGAGCACCCCACATAGCCAGCTCAGCTCCCTTCCCTCAGGAGTGCAAGGAACTCAGAGATGTTGCTTCAGTGTCCCTGGACTTCCATTCTCAGGCACTGCCAGGAATCTGTCGCTCCACACCTTATAAAGTGGCCAGCACTGAAATAACCATCTGAATGAGAGGTTTTCTGAAAGGAGGGCAGAGCGGGCCGGCCGTGTCATTACTCTCTTCCCCCCCCCCCCCCCGCCATCCCTGGAAGCCAGGAGACAGACTCTGCCACCCCACCCATCACATAGGCGCCCCATCTCGCCAGCAGTCAGGCCTGAGGATCCCAAGCATGGAGGGAAGGCAAGTGTGCTGTCTGTCCCATAAGCTCCGTCCCAGAAGGGAGGCCAGGAGGTCATTTCTGCTTCGATTTTGCCACCAGCAGATATGGGCTTGAGAATGTGGGGGCGGGAGGTGAACGGCACACACTGGAGCCTTCCAGCGAGCAGAAACAGGAGGACCGCTTGTCCCTGAGGGATGGCTCACCTCAGGCCCCACCCCTCCCCCAGTGCTCTCACCCTCTCCTCCAGGCTGATTCATCATTGAGCAACAAGCGGCTCCTCCCCCCACCCACCTGAACCCAGCTTGCTGACTTTTCCAAAAGCCCAAATTGCCCTGACACCATGCCCCTGGGTCTTAGCCCCTGCAGGCCTCCCCTCCCACCCGCTCCCACCCCAACTCTCCATGCCCCTCAGTATACATCCCGAAAGTCGCTACATCCTCCAGAGTTCGCCTCTTCCCACCCCATGAGGGTCTTTCATCTTTTGCGTTTCACTGAGATGAGTCCCTAGACTCCTATTCCTCCTGGTCACCATCCTCACTGGAGCCTAGCCCTCTCCAGACTGAAGTGTGACACTCTCTGTGTCTGCTCTACCTCAAATCCACTCTTTGCCATTCATTTGCTTACACATTCGTTCCCTGCATCATGTACTCAATCTCATTCATTGTCTTACTCGTGCATGAAAGCATTCATCCTCTCATATATTCATTCAACCACTGCCTTCTTAATTCACTCACCTGGCCCAACTGCCTTCAACACACAGGAAGGTGCAATCTAACCTGGGCTGGTAATGCAAATTCTATCTGCAAGCCTGTTTCAAAAGAGTCTCTCCAGCCTCAACAGACCCCTTCTCTGCTCCCGCACATGCTTTGGTTTGCTTGTTCATTCATTTGGTTGATTGAGTAACTGGTTGGTTGGTTTTATGTTTTGGTTTTTTTTTCAAACAGGAATATGTAGCTCAGGCTGGTCTTTGAGTTCACTATGTAGCCCAGGCTAGCCCCAAACTCTCAGTGATCCTCCTGCCTCAGCCTCCCAAGTGCTGGGATTAAAGGCGTGTGCCTACATGCTCAACAGTTGGTTGGGTTTTTTGAGACACGATCTCACTACGTAGCACAGCCTGGCCTTGTGCTCTCCTCCCTCCTCCTGGCTCAGCCTCCCAAGTGCTGGGATTACAGGCGTGCACTACCATGCCCAGTTCCTTGTATGCTTTTCGCAGTTGCACAAGGCTGGTTGTTCACACAGGTGCCCCTGCCGCACCCTTCCCTACCTCGAAGGACTCAGTTTCTCATGCACACATGCAGAGGGAAGAACTCTACCATTCCTCATCTCCTCTGTGTGAATAATCCATTTACCTACTACCCACTTTCACTTTCACAACAAGAGGTGGATTCCTCTGAAATTTTTTCCAGACAAGTGAAAATGGAGGAGTTTGATATGGGGAGCTACACACACACACACACACACACACACACACATGACTACTGCGAGCCTGACCAACACTCAGACAGCTCTTCGCTAGTCCATGAAGAAAGGGTGAGCTGCCCTCACACCACCCTACCCTCAGCTGGGCTGGACAGAGGAAGGTTAGCATAATGAAGCTGGCTCCCCCCAGAGAAGGCAAAACAAGTCAAGCAAGGACCTGCCCGCGTGGTGGAGAAGCAGCCAGTTCCAGGTCTGGTCCCCTGCCCTCTCTGCCTCTCCCAGGGAGCTCCCAGGTTTCTCCCCAGGGCCTCACCCAAGCCCCTGCCAGGGAACAGCTCCTTAAGCACAGTGAGGCCTGTGTCTGGGATCTGCCTGGGTCTTCAGGTGGAAGAGAAGCCACCTCAGCCCCTGCCTCCTCTCTCAGGCCCCCTTGGGCCCGCCCTCGTTCCTCCTGGGCTCCGTTACCTCCCCAGGACATGGCTCCCGGAGCCCAGCGAGGCCTGTCCAAGGTCTGAATAGCCCCCAACCCCCACCAAAGCACACTTGCTCTTTTCTGTCTGGGAGGGATCGGCAGCTGTGGGCAAAGCTCCGGAGTGCCTCTGCCCACTGTCCCAGTCCCTGGAGAGGAGCCCAGTCATCTGCCGGTCAGCGAGAGGGTCTCAGTCACCCCATCCACCCCTCTGGAAGCTCCACCCAGCCCCCAATCTCACCAGGACTTCCCATTCCCAAACTGGCCTTTGAGGAAAGTTAATAATTAACAAAATCTTCAGTTCCAGTCTCAGCCAGGTCCCTCTCCCCAGGTCTCCTTACCACCCCTTCTCCTGGCCTCCCAAATCTGCGGGGTCCCTCTGGCAGCCCCAGACCTCCCAGGCTGGGCCTGGGGTCCTCACCTGTCTCCTCAGTCCACCTCCTGTCCAGTAGGGCTCTGGGGTCCGGGCTCTGGCACTGCCAAGCAGCTCCCCAGCTCGGCCCAGCCAGGACTCCTCCCCGCTGCGCTGCACTCCCAGACTGTCCCACTCCCTCTCGGCCTGCCCAGCTGAGCTGGCTCGGTGGGGAGGTAGTGACTGAGCTCCCTCTTGGCTTGGCCCTGGGGTTGGGCCCTTGTTAAAGGGATACACACCTTTTTTAACACCCTTCTACCCCCACAAGGGACGGAATGGTGGAAGCTGGCCCTCCCCAACCCCACCCTCCTAACCCCTCAGGGCCTGAGCAGAACCTGACAGGGTGAAGGAAGGAAAGGGCTGTCACTTGTCTTTCTGTCCTGGGTCACCAGAAGGCCAGTTTCTGGGGTCCCCAACAGACAAGTTCAGTTAGCATTCCAGGCCAGCCCAGCTGACCACAGAAATTCCTTGCTGTTGGGATTTTAGGAGTAACACCTGATTTCTGTGGACACCCAGGGACCAGAGGCTGGCTCCAGTCTTCCCTTTCCAGTTCAGCCCAACCTGAGCTCCCGAGACCCTTCCCCAAGCCCTTCGTACACAGCAGAGGGCTCCTCCGCAAACTCCCATTTCCTGCTTTCCCTCGGTACTCAAGAAAACAGCAGCTGCACCTCCCCATGGCAAGACCACAGGCAAACCAGAGAGGACCCCTGCCCCACTCCCCCAGCGCTGGCTGTGTGACTATGGGATGGGCCATGCCACTCTTCAAACACTGCTACAAGGGCAGGAGTGTCCACACCCCCGCTTTACAGGTAACATACTCCAAGAGCATGCCCGGAAGCGAGCCGTAGAGTGAGGATTCAAACCGCCAGTGAGCCTGTTCCCCAGCCCCACGTTTCCCTAGTCAGTAGTCAGCCAGGCCCCAGGACACCCGGCTCATGTCCTTTCCCCCAGAGGCAGGTGCACACACATGCACACCTCCATCTCTTGTGGAGGGCCACATGCAGGCGCACTAGCCCTCGGAGAGAACCGGCTCTTCCACCTTTTGCGCCTGTACAACCCTCAGCCCAAATGTACAGAGAGAGAGAGCTCTCAGTCACCTCCACTGCCCACACTCCGTAGGACACACCCCGAGAACCCCTGACTCCATCCCCAAGAGCCCTTTACCCAGGGACCCTGAGGGCATCCAATCAAGACAACATTTTCCTTTTTTTCAATTTTTTTATTAATCAAATGATACAAAACAATTATCATTCTGTAAATGTCCAAGCACCCCTAAATCTTCTCACCCCAAAATCACACCTTCCCCAGCATCTCTTTTGAGCCTGCTCCCCTTCTCTCCTCCCCCAGCCCAGGGACAGAGGCCAGGAAGGAGGCCGGGGCAGGGTTGGATATAGGAAGGGATAGCACCAGACAGACAGCTACAGCTTGGCTTGCGGAGGAGGCAAAGAGGGGCAGCGTCTCAGACGCCCTTTTCAGTATGTGTCCAGCCACATTCCCAGCCCATTCTCCTGATCATTTCCCATAGCCAGCTCCTCTCTGCCCTTCCCCTACTACCAAATCACTTGGCCCTCACACCACCTTTATCCCTCTGTGCCCTCCCAGGCCCCAACCTCCCCCAAGCTTCCTTTAGTGAGGGGCTCCTAGACCCATGAGCTCCCTGGAGCTCCCAGGACAGCGCAAGCCCTGGGGTAGGACCAGGGAGGAGCAGGACAAGGAGTTGCAGCACGGGGAATAAGGGGGTAGCGCTGGAGAGAAATTTTATTTCCAAGACCACGGTCTCTAAGATCCCCTCTCCCCAACATCCCCCCAAGAACTCCGGGAGGGGGTCTTCAACTCCCTGGAACAGGACTGTCCAGCTTCACGCTCTTGGCTGCTTCTCCAATCAGCTCCCAGAAGCTCCCAAACTCCAGTTTAGAGTCGTTACAGTTGCCCAGGTTGGCAATTTTCTCTTCCAACCCACAATTGCTCTGAGGGGAGGGAAGACACCATAGCTCAGCAAGGTGGCACCTTCAGATCTTCCCACCCCACCCTGCCCGGGAGCAGGCAGCAGGACCTGAGCCACCTGGCACTGGCAAGGGGGAGGAGCTTGGGGCTGCCAGTCCCAGCATGGGTGAGTCTGGGAGCGCTTGCTTGGGAAGTCAGGACTGTGGGGGTGAGGTCTACTCTTAGTACCGGCATGAGGTGGGGCAGCTGCTGTGTGACCAGGTCCCGGAGCTCAGACGGGGTCAGGGTCTCCTTCCCACCCTCCACCGAGTACTGGTGGAAGTTCTTGATGAGGGTCTCAATGGCCCTCTCCACATCACTGAATTCCTGGGCATCCTGAGGGCAGGAGACAGAACGTCAGGGGTGCAGCACCCACCCCACGACAGACACACTGCTTCCCTGGGAGCCTTGGCAAAGCCAAGAGAGCAGAAGCCAGCTGGAAGGCAGCCACCCCTGCCCGCACCAGAGCCCAGAACCCAGCCCCGCTCCCTCACCCCTGCGCCAGCTTCCAGGCCACAGAGGCCCCTGCCTCAAGGCCTCCTCCCGGCCACCTCCAGCAGTAAGCAGAACAGGTCCCAGCGCCTGTCCTGACACCTTCCCAGGACTCCATCAGCACCACCCTGTGTGGGGGTCAGGGAGAGGACTCGGGGCTCACTGGCAAGATCTGGGTGCAAGGCAAGGCCAAAGCAAGGGGCAAAATCCTGGAGGACATACGCTCTCAGAACAGCGGGGAGGAGTGTGGAGACAGAAAGATAGGCCAGGAGTGAATGGGCCTACCTCAGCATTGGCTGACCGGCACTGTCCCATGGTGCCCAGGCACTTGGCCCTTCGGTGAGAATTTCGTCGTCCTACAGCCTTCCCCAGAAGAGCTGATGGCTCATGATCTGCCTAGAGGAAAGGGGTGAGGTGAGGAGGAGGTCAGCCTTCTTGAGGTGGGGAGGAGGTCAGCCTTCTTGAGGTGAGGTGGAGGTCAGCCTTCCTGAGGTGAGGAGGAGGTCAGCCTTCTTCCTCAGTGGCTGCCTTTGGCTCCACCAAGCCCTTCCGCCTCACTGAGGTGTCAGGGCCAACTCCACACAGCCCCAGTTCCTCCCCAGGCTCCAGGACTAAGGCCTCACCCATGTAGAGAGAATCCCTTGGGCCTCACTTCAGCCTCGTTCCCCCTACCTCCCCGAATCACTGGAATGCACACACCCCAAGCTCCGAGGCCCAGGCCCCTGCTCTGCCCTAGAAGACACAGGAAGCACAGGCGCAGGTGCCCCCGGATACCTGCCAACCCGGACAACGTAATGACTCTAAACTGGAGCTTAGGAGCTTCTACATGAAAAGCCCTGGGTCTCCTTACCTGCTGGCAGCCGCTGAGACTGGACGGGAGGAGCCAGCTCACCTGGACTCAGCTCATATACCTGGGGAAAGGAGGGGAGGCGGGGAGGGCGGGCTGGGCCTCATCCCTCAGCCACCCCTGCTAAGGCTGCGCCTTCCCCGGGCTGGGAGCCAGCAGCTTGGGCCCCACCCTGCATCAGCCAGAGCTCTGAGCCTGTCCTATCCCTGTCAGGAGGAAGGAGTCGGAGAGGGCTGGGGCTGGGATGCCCCTGGCCCCAGACCAGCACGTGGAGTGACAGGAACAAAAGGAAGAAAGGCTGGAGGGTGTGGGAGTAGAGATCCTATGGTGAAGCAGACAGGGTCTCAGTAGCCAGGAAAAAAAAGGAAAAGCAGGATTAAGACAGAAGAGGATGCCGCACTCGAAAGTCTCTCTCTCTCCTTCCCCTCTCTCTCCTCCCAACCAGCGCCAATTTAAATAGCGACACTCAGGCCTATCCAGACCCCAGAGCCTTTCCCAATCCTGATGGCAGACAGATGAATGGAGGAGGAAGGGCCTGAGAAGCTCGGCCTGGCAGAGGGAGCCACACAGCTGCGGACTGCCTTCCCGTCAGCCCTTGGTTCACACATTCAAGGCCCAGACGAGTTACTTGGCAGCTGACAACCTCTCCAAACTGGTCGGGCTACAAGTGCCTGCCTCCACCGAGTCCCATGTCTTCCCTAGCCCTGCAGCAGCTTGCAACAGCCACCCTCCAGTCCAGTGTCCAGAGTGTCACCCTGGGAACCCTGGCTGTGCTAACCCAAGTGGCCTCCTCACCTGCCCAGGCTCAGTGGGGTACCCAGCTTGGGTCAGGGCAAAGATGGATGGGGCCCAGAGCCAAGGCTCCTGGGAGCCTTCCCTGCACTCTGAGATGAGAGCGTATGTCCCACATCTAGGGCTGTCTTGTAGTTTGGATCTCCACTTACAGAGGCCCCCATGCAAGAGGGTCTCATTCTTTTTTTTTTTTTTTTTTTTTTTTTTGATACCGGGAATTGAACTCAGTACCTCAAACTTGCCAGGCAGGCACTGTGCCACTGAGGTATATCCCCAGGCCTACAAGGGTCTCATTCTGAGAGTTCTGTGCAGGGCTTCACTTCAGGGAACCCCCCCCGCCCGCCCCCGCAAAGGTCTTCCTATCACAGGGTTTCTCGGAGACTGGCTTGGCCAGCCACCCCTCTGAGCAGTCTCAGGCCAAGGTGTCTCACTGACCTGTCCCTCCTTGTGTGGAAACCCCTCTGGAATGTCTGCCAATAGCGCCAAGCCTGGATGTCACTCTGAGGTCATTGTCTGGGGGTCCTCAGTGGGTAGTGCAGCTCCATTAGGGGCCCTTCCTTTCTTTTTTTTTTTTTTTTTTTTTTTTTTTTTTTTTTTTTTTTGTCTTTTTGAGACAGGCTCTCACTATGCAGTTCAGGCTGGCCTTGAGCTCACTTTGTAGCCCAGGCTGGCCTCGAACTCACAACGATCCTCCTGCCTCAGCCTCCCAAGTGCTGGGATTACAGGCGTGGGCCACCACGTCGGGCCATAGGGACCCTTTCATGGTGTATGATCCGGGCTTGTCTCAGCCCAGAGCTGCTCTGGACTCCTTGCTGCCCACAGGGACATAGGCAGCTGTGACAGCCACAACCCTGCTACCCAGCCCCACCTTGCCCCACCCCTGCTCCCTCTGGTGGCGGGTTCTGCAAACTGCATGCCTTCAAGCCAGTAAGGACAGTGCTTATTCCTGCAGCACCACTTCACCTTGAGGAGTGTCACCGGCCATCTCCTCCGGGTTCGCCCTTGCTGGGGAGGGAGCATGGGAGGAGGGTCCCCTGTTCCCAAGTATCCTTGGGGGGATGAGTCAGTGGCTGTGGAATTTCAACCCAGTTCCAGTTATTCTTGTCTTTGTGGCTTAACTTATCTAAAAATCTGTTTCCTTGCCTTCAAAGATACAGGTTTTAAAAATATTAACTACCTGAGTGGGTGTGGTGGGGCACACCTGTAATCCCAGCCCTTGGGAGGCTGAGGCAGGATGGATCTCCACGAGTTCAGTGCTAGCTTGAATTACATAGTGAGGCCCTGTCTCTAAAAACAAAAGAAACACAAATTACCTAGCAGAGCCAGCCAGCCTGCAATCCCAGCACTCTGAGAGGTTGAGGCAGAAAGATTATAAATTCAAACCCAGCTTTGGCAACTCAGTGATTTAGGGAGGCCCTATCTCAAAATAAAGAAATAAAAGGAGTTGGGGATGGAGCTCAATGAGAAGGCACTATATCAGTCCCAGTACAAAAAAAAACAGAATATAAAATACTACCACTCAGGACTGTGAGGATTAAGATAATGCAAATAATGTTTTGGGGGACTTATTTTGTCGTTGTTGTTTTGTTTTTTCTATTTGGTATCTTTTTGAGACAGGGTCTTGCTATGTAGTTCAGGCTGGCCTCAAACTGGTAGAAATCTTCCTGCTTCAGCCTGCTTCAGCCTCCCTAAATGCTGGGATTACAGGCATACACCACACCCAGCTGAATGCGGGTAACATGTTTCACCTGTGCTTAACATGGTAAGGCCATGACACACACTCCATGCTATCATCGTCATCAGGGACAACTCCAGGAGTAAGATGGGGAAACTGGAGCCAGAACCATGCTGTTCAGCCAAAGAGGCACCTGGAGAAATAGAAGCCACCTAATGTGCCCTCAATTCCTTTATCTTTTTTTTTTTTTGTCTTTTTGAGACAGGGTCTCGCTATGCAGTTCACGCTGGCCTTGAGCTCACTTTGTAGCCCAGGCTAGTCTCAAGTTTGCAATGATCCTCCTGCCTCAGCCTCCTAAGTGCTGGGATTACAGGCATGCACCACCAAGCCTGGCCTTTATCTTTTGTGTATTCATTCATCAATCATTTATTTATTGAGCACCTACTCAGTATAAGACCTGTTACTAAAACAGCAAAATATCTGAAGATAAATTGTACTCCCTGTCTTCAAGGAACTCATAATGTTCAGGCTCACCCTCAGGTCAAGGGAGAGCTTTCCCATTCCCTGGTCTCAAGAGAAGAAACTAGAGTGGAACGTGAATGAGAAACATTTGTCTCAAGACAGAAGCTTTATTTGGGGGTTGTGGGTTCTGCCTGGCCCTGCCCAGCCAAGCAGGTGCTTTACTTCTTCCGGATCTCCAGGGCCTTCTCCTTCCTGATTTCCTTGGCCAACTCGCCAATCAGTCTCCAGTACTCATTGAACTTGAGCTCTGAGTCCTGATTCACATCCAAGCTCTTCATCTTTTCATCCAGGGAGCCCACATCCTGAAGACACACGAAGAGAAGGAAAGGGTTAAAGTCGGGGAGACCTGACAGCCCAGCATGGCAGTGCGTACCTGCGATCTCAGCACTCTGGGAGGCTGAAGCAGGAGCATGGCAAGTTCAAGTCCAGCCTGGGTAACAGCAATTCAGCAAGCCCCTATCTCAAAACTAAAATTTTAAAAAGAAGTGGGGATGTAGCTCAGTGCAAAGGCCGTGGGTTCAATCCCCAGTACTGGGGGATAAAAAAGCCAGGGAGGGCATAAGGAACAGGAAGAATCACCAGCTGCCTTTCTCTGGGGGCCCTTTCCTCAGACAGTACCAACACCTGCCCTTAACTGAAGGAGGAGGCTGTGGCCCTGACCTGCCCTTCCCTGGGGTCCTGACTCCAAAGGACACACACAGGGAGGCAGGAAGGCCTGACTCGTCATTTTTGGCAGGGTATAAATACTCCCACATGGCTGATCACGAACTACGAATATGAATCACTAAACGCAAAGCTGGGAAGATGTGCACACAATCTGTTCTGGCCTGCAGGTAGGAACTGGCCCCAAACACCTTCACTGGAAGAAAGACAGCCTCTTTAATAAATGGTGCTGGAAAAACTGGCTTTGCATATGCCGAAGGCTGACCCTAGACCCATATGTCTTACCACACACTAAATTAAAATCAAAATGGATCAAAGATCTAAATATAAAAATAGAAATAATCTGCTAGAAGATAGAATAAGTAAAACTCTTGAAGACAAAGGTGTAGGAAAAGACCTTATGAATAAAACCCTAATCACACAGGAAATATTACAACCAGGATCACATCAAATTAAAAAGCTTTTGCACAGCAAAAGAAACCAAGGAGAGCAAAGAGACAACCCACAGAATGGGGAAACATTTTTACCAGTTATACCTCAAACAAAGGACTATTATCTAGAATATATAAAGAACAACAACAACAACAAAAATCAGAGCCCCAAAATTCAAAGACTTGCCAGGTGTGGTGGTGCACACCTGTAATCCCAGCACTTGGGAGGCTGAGGCAGGAGGATCATTGCAAGTTCAAGACCAGCCTGGGCTACAAAGTGAGCTGAAGATCAGCCTGAACTGCATAGCGAGACCCTGTCTCAAAAAGAAAAACAAAAACAAAAAAAAAAATTCAGAGACTCAGTCCAAAAATCGGCATCTGAAATGAACAGACCCTTCTCAAATGAAAAAGTACAAATAGCAAATAAATATATGAAAAAATGTTCAACATCACTGGTCATTTGAGAATTACAAATTAAAACAACACTGAGATTCCATCTTACTCTAGAAAGAATGGCTGTCATCAAGAAATCAACCAATAACAAATGCTGATGAGGCTGCCAGGGAAAAAGGAACCCTTCTCCACTGCTGGTGGGAGAGTAAATTGGTACAGCCACTATGGAAATCAGTATGGAGATTCCTCAAAAAACTAAAACTAGATGTTCCATTTGACCCAGCTATTCTCCTTCTAAGCATCTTCGCAAAAGAGTTAGAAGTATCATACCACAGTATTACGTGCACACCCATGTTTATAGCAGCACAATTTATAATAGCTAAATCTTGGAAACAGCCCATACACCCATCAACAGATGAATGGACAAAGAAAATGTGGTATTTATGTAAAATGGAATACAGACTACCACAAAGAAGGGTAAATGTGAGTCACTTACAGGTAAATGGATGTACCTTGAGACAATAATTTTAAGTGAAATAAATAAGACACACAAGTTTGGCCAGGCGTGGTGGTGCGTGCCTGTGAGCCCAGCACTCGGGAGACTAGGCAGGAGGACTGCAGGAGTTCAAGGTCAGTCTGGGCTAAAATGTGAGACCCTGTCTCAAAAACAAAACAAACGTATGGGAGGAAAAAAATGGAAACACGGACTCTGTAAATGGTGAGGAAAAAGGGGTTGAAGGGAGGGGAGGGGAATGGGAATTTAAAGAATTAAGATATATTATGTATAGGTACAAATTCCTTATGATGAATGTGAACATTATGTGTGGCAAAAGTACTAATAAAAAACTTTTTTTAAAAAGAGCCGTCCCAGCACACCTGCATTCCAGGGCTGGCCCCAGAATAACCTGGGAGCCTTCAGAGGGGCAGGATTCAGCTAGACTGCATGCAGCTGCTCATCTGCACAACTCTAAGGTTCTCTCCTTGTTCAGCAGGGTCACTACCTGGTAGCCTGGGGGAACGGAGAAGACCTGGGCATTGGTTTTCCAGGAGGACCCTGCCGAAGTTGCTCCTGATGGGCCTGTCAAACCAAATACTGTAGGCCAGACTTCATGTGTTGCCAAGCTGGGTGTGGTGGTGTATGCCTAGAATGCCAGCTCCTCGGGAGGCTGAGACAGAAAGATCAGAAGTTTGATGTCAGCCTGGGCAGCTTAGTGAGAACTTGTCTCAAAATAAAAAATAAAGACGACAAGGGATGTGGCTCAAGGGTAGAGCGCTTGCCTAGCATTTGTAAAGCCGTCTGGGCTCAATCCCAGTATACTTCCAAAGGGGGAAGGGTACGGCAAGTGGAAAGATCACATCAAAAAGCTGATGGTTGAACAATGAGTCAGGGTCAGACTGGGGGCCTCAGGCAGAGCTCCTTGCCCAACGTTGGGAATCCACATTTCAATGAAGGCAAAGGAGACTTGCCACATACTAAGAAGGCACAAAGCTAATTTAGAGCCAACCAAGACTCTTAAAAGCCACAATCATCTTAACTGTAAAATACCATGAGCACCGCCAGCAGCAGGCAAGAATGGCTCGCTTAACCATGCCTGATTTCATAATTTCGGGTTTTATGTTGAACACGTTGCATGCTTCATTTCCTTTGATCCTCAGACCTTGCTAGGAGAAAAGGCTTCCTGTGCACAGAGAACCTGTCCATCTTGCTCACCACTATAACCCTAGTGCCAAGGGGAATACCTGGCACATAGTGGCAACCTGTTCACGGCTGAAACCCAGGCCTAGGACAGCGTCAGCACAGCACAGAGCAAGTGCTCAATAAATACCGCCGGAAAAGACACCACGCCAATCCAACGAGGAAAATACTAGGATGACTGTTTCACAGTTTCACATCTCAAAATTAAAAAAAAAAAAAAAACTCCAAGGTTGGAAAAAGAGCTCAAGGTGAAGACCCTGGGTTCAGTCTCCAGTACAAAATAGATAAATAAATAAATACATAAATAAATAATAAATAATACATAAATTCTGTTCATTATTATTCCTGCTGACACAGCCTTAAAGGCTTAAGGTAACTATCAGATAAGAAAATCTATAGATAAATAAATAAATAAATAACATAAATAAATAAATAGCACCTAGAGTAATTAAGCCAGCTTCTTACTAGGTAAATAACAGATGAATGAAATGGAATACAGATTCAATATACACATGGAAATTGAGTAAATAATAAAGCTGGTATTTTCCAACAGGAAAACATTCATTAAAAAGTGTGTTTTTTTAATATGTTAAAGTGGGGAAAATATTTCTAAGTAAGACGTACACCACAGAAGCTATGAGCTGGGGTAGAGCTCAGGGGTAAAGCATGTGCTTAGCATCCACAAGGGAGCTCAGCATGTCCAAGGAAGGAAGAAGGAAAGACAGAAAACAAAATATAGAAGCTATTCAGGAAAAATCAGATAGATTTAAGTACGTGAAAATTTTTTACATTCTGCCTGGTAAAAATGCCAAAAACATAAGGGGAAAATGTTAGCAGCAATCTGTAATAAATAAAAAACTAATTTCTTTTCTTTTCTTTTCTTTTTTTTTTCTTTTTTTTTTTTGGCTTTTTGAGACAGGATCTCTCTATGCAGTTGAGGCTGGCCTTGAGATCATTTTGTAGCCGAGGCTGGCCTGGAACTTATAACAAGCCTCCTGTCTCAGCCTCCCGAGTGATGGGATTACAGGTATGCACCACCATGCCTGGCCATCATTTTTTTAAATGGGAAAATACCCTGTATGGATTATTACTTGGGCCTTGTATATACTACTCAAGTGCTCTACCACATCCTCACCCTTTATAAATTTTATTTTGAAATGCCCAGTGTAGCCTCTAACTGTCAATCCTCCTGCTTCCATTTGTAGAGCTGGGAATGGTGGCACATACCAGTGATCCGAGCACTTGAGAGGCTGAGGCAAGAGGATCTCAGGTTCAAGACCAGCCTAGATACATAGTGAGAATCTATCTCAAAGTCCCAAGCTGAACCATGAACAAAAAAAAGCTGTTCACGGAACGGTATGTAGGATGTATTTGTTCATTTACTCAGTCACGTTTTTTCACTTCTTTTTTCACAATTTTATTCTCTCACTCATATGTACTGAATATCTGCTCTCCCAAAATTCATGGTGAAAGTCTGCCCCTGAAATCTGATGGGTCTTCAGGAGATGACTTAGGTCACAAGGGTAGAGTCCTTGGGAATACAGTTAGTCCCCTTACAACAGAGTACCCTGAGAGCATTTTAGTTCTTCCTCCCAAGAGAGGACACAATCTGAAAGGAACATCTGCAGCCCCTAGGAGGCCCTTGCATAAACCCAGCCTGGCTGGCACTCTGATCTTCATTTTTTTCTCCAGAACTGTGAGAAATAAATTGTGCTGTTTATAAGCCACTCCTTTCATAGCTCTTTGTTAAGACAGTCACTTAATATTTTATTGAGCACCTAGTAGGAGCTAGACATCCTAAATTCTGGAGATGAAGCAGTGAGCAGATTCCCTTCCTCCAGGAGACTGACACTCCTGACAACACAGCAGTATACAGCGGAGGTCACACGACAGCTGCGTTCTACAGTGTAACGCAACGTACTGCAATAGTCAGCTTTTGTATCCAGTGGTGAAGGAAACCATGCTGAGGACCTGACATTTGAGCAGAAATCTGAATTAAATGAGGAATAAGCCTAGAAAATATCAAGGAGAGGAACAGGAGAGGAAAAATAGAGACAGTAAGTAGAATTTTTCTCATTGTTTTTGAGGGGTTTCACTCTAAGAACAACAAAAATAAATGGTATGACTGAAGGGAGCTATAAAGCCAGGGGAAATTTTCTTTCTTTTCTTTTTTGAGACAGGGTCTCACTATGTAGCTTAGGTTGGCCTCAAACACCTAGCAAACCTCCTGCCTCAGCCTCCCAAGTACTGGGATGACAAGGATGTGCCACCAAGCCTGGCTTTTCTTTTCTTCAAGATGGGAGATATTACATGAAACCAGGAAATGGCAGATGACCTGGGGAAATGACCCGTGAGCCACCTGCACATGCACGGCTGGGCTTAGGTTTCATTTTCTTAAGGCTTAGGTGTCATCTCCCTGAAAAGAGCAATTTCCAGAGGGATGCTGCCCCTGCAGTGGGACGGTGTGCTGTGCAGAAGGAGGTCAGCAGGCAGGTCAGGCAGCCAGAGAAAAGCCAGACCCAGAGGGAGTCAGGATGACTGAGGGAAGGACAAGGTAGGAGGAATCCTGAGGCTGAGGGATAATAAAAGCCAGGCCCCAGGATGGGGACACGATAGCCAAGGGTCCCACGTTAAGCTAGTAAGATCCTCCTGTCCAAGAATGTAATTAAAAAAAAAAAAAAAAATACAAGGTGACATCCCATCCCACCCAGCCTCTATCTGTGCTCCTCTGAAGAATGCCTTTGTCCCAGAGTGGTCTGAGATGTAGTCACTTCTGTGTATCAAAACTCCCAGATAAGGAGTTCCCATGGCAACCTGCCCAGGTCCTCTCCTGGTATTGGGAGCTTTCTGCTTTCGCTCTCCAAAAAATGCTTTTGCTTCTCTCTTGACCCCGTGCCTCGTAATTCTTTCTGGCTTGAGAGAAGCACCCACCAGCGGGACGGTAATATTACAGCATATTTGTAATCTGATACTATTGATCCAGGAGAGAAGGGAATTCTGTTTGTTTTTTGAGACAGGGTCCACTAGTCAGCTAGGTTTCTCAGACTGGGATCGAACTTGTGATCCTCCTCCCTCAGCCTCACAGAATGGTGGGATTACAGGCATGCACCACCACACCCAGCTATGGTTATACAAGGCATAGTCAAAAAACATGATGAATGTTTAAATTTTTAAAAAGTTATTACAATGAAAGGCACAGAGGGACAGACAGAATATGCCCTTCCGTGTCAGTTTTAAGAAAAGCAACACCAAGCCAGGCATGGTTTCACACTCCTGTAATCCCAGCACTCAGGAGGCTGAGGCAGGAGGATCACTGAGAGTTCGAGGCCGGCCTAAGCTACAAAGTGAGTTCAAGGCCAGTCTGAACTGCAAAATGAAGCCCTGTCTCAAAAAAGAGAAAAAAAAAAGCAACACCGGCCAGGGATATGGCTCAGTGGCACAGCGCCTGCCTACCCAGCAAGCGCAAGGCCTTGAGTTCGATTCCCGGTACAAAAAAATATCAGTACCAGCTTGTGGAAGTTACCAGAAAGCTGTGGTCCAGGTTTCCCTGTAGGGAAAGAAGGGGAAGATCCTTTGGCTTAATCATCAACTTCCACCCCTTTACAAATTAGTTAACATAGTGGATGATTAAGTACCTCATTGGTTATGTTCTGGTTACTAATGTCCCTGAAACCTGTAATTTGTGTTTATAATTTGTTAATTTTTGTTTTTTGGCGGTTTTTTTGGTACCGGGAATCGAACTCAGGACCTTGCGCTTGCCAGGCAGTTGCTTGTGCCGCTGAACTACATCCCTGGCTTAATTTTTGTATTTGTAATTTTATGACAAAGTTTTTGTCTTCCTCTTTTAATTAATTTTCTGCCCAATGCTTTTTTCTTTGTTTTTAGTTATAGTTGCGTTCTTTTTTTCATACCGGGAATTGAACTCAGGACCTTGCGCTTACCATGAAGGTACTTATACCTCTGGGCTACATTCACAGCCCTTTTTTCTTTGTTTTTAATTCCACAAAGAGTATTCAATTCTTCAATTTTTTTTTTTTTTTTTTTGGTCTTTTTGAGACAGAGTCACGCTGTGCAGTTCTGGCTGGCCTTGAGCTCACTTTCTAGTGCAGGATGGCCTTAAACTTGCGATGATCCTCCTGCCTCAGCCTCCTGAATGCTGGGATTATAGGTGTATGCCACCACACCCAGCTCGAAGGGTATTCAATTCTTGCAAACACACTGAAATAAGTTGCCTGCTAGGGTGTGGTTTGGTTGGGTTTCTTAGTTCAGTTTTTTTGTTTTTGAGACAAGGTTTCACTGCACAGTTCAGGCTGGCCTCAAACTCATGGCAATCCTCATGCCTCAGTCTCCCGAGTGCTGGGATTGCAGGCATGTATGAGGCGTTGGGGCCGTATTTGTTTTTCGGCAGCCTCCTTCTAGCTCTACGTATAATCTGTGGATCTCCTGGAATCCAGCTCTAGACTCAGTCCCATGTGGGGGAAATGGGACCACAGAGTTAATTGGACACAAGGACCAACAGCGCCATCTGACGGGAGCACTGGGCCCCATCACACACTCCCTCCCACTCGCACACTCACAGCATCTTTTCTTCCCTAGTCACACACGCGCATGTGCACACATTGCGTGCAGGCAGGAAAACCTAGAACCACCTACTCCTGTTCACTCTCAGGCTTTCTTTTTTTTTTTTTTGTCTTTTTGAGACAGGGTCTCGCTATGCAGTTCAGGTTGGCCTTGAGCTCATTTTGTAGCCCAGGCTGGTCTCAAACTTGCAACGATCCTCCTGCCTCAGCCTCCCCAGTGTTGGGATTACAGGCATGTGCCACGCCACCTGGCAACTCACAGGTTTTTTTGTGGTCCTATTATCTCCTCAGCATTAGCACCTCACCCACGCCACGTGCCACATCCAGGTCCGCAGAACCACAGCCCCAGAGGCTACACCAACCTTAAGCAGATGAGGCAACTGCTGGGTGACCAGCTCCTGAAACTCATTGATGCTGAGGCTGCCCTTCCGGCCTTCCCGCCCTGCAAAGGTGAAGAAGGTGGTGACCACTGTCTCGATGGCGGCCTCCAGCTCAGTCAGTGGCTCGGCTGCCATTAGGATCCGGGACCCAGAGATGATGTCCTCACAGGCTGACCTGCAGGTCAGGGAGCTCAGGATCCAGGAATGCCTTGGTGTTGTCTCAGGCTTCTGCAAGGAAGAGGGCGGGGACAGGAGCTGGGCGTGGAGAAAAAGCCAGGCAGTGGTATTTCAGTTTAGGTTCAGTTCCAGAAACCCCTTTTTCTGTGGGTCTTACAGTCTAGGGGTCCTTTTTCCGGGCCCTCGCTGGTGGCTCCTCGTACAAGGCCCCTGTGTGGTGGCCCCGCTCTGGAGCCCGCAGTCTGGCGGCGCCCCAGTGGGGTTCCTGTCCCAAGAGCCCCTGCTTGCTGCTCCTCACAACCGCAAAGGGTCAGGAGGTTGTTTTTCTCCAGAGCCTGTTGACACAGGAACCTAGCGCCTGCCCACACACTGGCCACTGTGCCCGGCAGGGAAGTGGGGGCTGGCAAAGGCCCAGCTGTGGTCAGTCTGGCCAGACCCATCATCTCGGCACCCCGCATTCTGGAGGTCAGCTGGACAGGGCTGATGCACAGGACCCCACCGTCCTCCACACACTCCTGTCCCTGGATGACAGGCTCCGGGCACGGGACTGCTCTGGCTCCTGAGCCCACAGAGGGCTTGATGGGGCCACTCGCAGCCCCCAGGGGCATGAGGAAAGGCTGGGCCAGGGGACATGCCCACCGTCCCTTATTTCCACACGCACGGCAGCATGCACACACTCCCACAGGGACTGCCGCCTGCTCTCCCAGAGCCACTTCCTGAATCCCTCTTCCAGCCAGCCACTGGGTGGGAGGTGATAAAGAGGATCCCCAGTTTCCCTCCAGGGTCAACTCACCACGGCAAGGAGAGGGGCACGGTGAGCAGCAGTTTCTGGACTGAGGTTTATAAGCACCACCGGCCGCAGGGAGGGAAAAGAGAGCCACTCCCCACCCCAGGGCTATCGAGTTTCCACCGCAGCTTACAAGGGAGGGAACGGCCCAATCACAGCGCTGGTCCCCTCGGGGCGGGGAGGGACTGCGGGACAGCAGGGGTCCAAGGATTTTATCATTTCCGATACTGTATTGGGACCAGCTGGCCCATTACACTCCCAGAGCTAATCAGGAGTGTCCGCTGGGGACAAGAGACAGGGCTATGATGGGAGACAACTGCTAATTTTGTTTTGTTTTGTTTTGTTTTTGGAGACAGGGTCTCGCTCTGTAATTTAGGCTGGCTTTAAACTCACAATGTAGCCCAGACTGCCCTCCAACTCTCGCTGATCCTCCTGCCTCAGCCTCCCTAGCACTGGGATTACAGGTGTGTGCCACTGAGCCAGGCACTACTGCTAACTTTAAAAAAGCAACTAAAGGTAGCCGGCAGAGGTGTCACACAGCTAAGGCAGAAAAATCCCAAGTTCAAGTCCAGCCTGAGAAATTTGAGACTTACTGAGACCTTGTCTCAAAAAAAATAAAAAAAATAAAAAAAATAAAGGACATGGGATGTAGCTCAATGCTAAGACCCGGGGTTCAATTCCAAAAAAGAAAATGTACCTGGGAGCTTAATCTGAACACCAGAGACCTTTCAGGGGACCCTGCAGACCAAGACCCCCCTCTGGGGGCCCCAGCTACATGGCCGGGCCCCCACAAACAGGGGGAGCCTGGCTGAAGCCACCACAGAAAAGTCCCCACAATGAAACCCCTCGGGGGAAGTCCGACAGAAACCCCTCAAGAAGACACCCAGACTGAGACCAGGCTAAGGCTCCTCAGCGAATCCTCCCTTCCCCAGCTCAGCCGGCACAGCTGGCCGCAGGGTTTGCAGAGCAGAGCAGGGTGAGACATCTCTGTCCCTCTCGGGATCTCCCTTCCCGCCTCCTCCCTCCTGTCTGCGGTGCCCAGTGGGGCGGGAAGAGACACTGGGCAGCCTGTTCCAGCCCAGGAGACAGAGGGCGCCTCTGTCCACTCCTGGCCCCTGGCCTCGCTGGCTGTCTGTCTGTGAAGGAAGGGGTGGAGCTGGGGGGCTGGGGAGGGGAAGGGCCCCTAAAGACAGGTCTCACACAGCTCCGAGAGCTGCACTTGCCGTCTCCTCCGCCCACTCAGAAGCTGCTCCCACCTCAGGTCCAGACCGACGTAAGTATCATGCGGCCCAACCTGGGCTGGGGCCCCAGCCTGGCCAGTGAGGGACCCCCAAAAGCCCAGGCACTGGGGTGCCCTGAGGGTCTGGGAGCAGTAGGGGCAGTGTGAAGACAGCTCGGGAGGCAGCAAGGGGAGGCAAGTGAAGGCCGAGGGCGGCCTGGGGGCTCACTGCACGCAGAGGTCAGTGGGGAACCCAGCCCCCAGCCCCCAGGACACGAGGCCCTCCCCTCACCCACTGAGTCCCCCGCCAGGGCCCCTCGGGCTCCCAGGTTTGAGGAGGGGCCTCGGTGCTGGTCTTGCTTCCAGCGGGGTAAGAATGAGAGCGCAACAGCTGTTCCTGCCCCTGCCAGCCTCGGTCTCTGCTGCGCCCCATCCTTGCCAAGAGCCAGGTCCCCAGGAAGCCTGGGGGTGGTGGCAGAGCATGAGCCGTTGGGTGTCAGCAAGAGGGGCCGCGGAGGTCTGTGCCCCTCCCCACTCTACTCCACGGGACCTGCCCTTCCTCAGCCCAGACCTCTGCCCACTTCTCTCGCCCCAGGTTCTTTCCTCTTTGTTCTCCCACTGCCCAGGTCCTCCCAGAGAGGCCCCCATATAAAATCGCAGGCTGCTGGAGGGCTCTGGGCAAACTCCAGGAGCCCCTCCTGGCTGGGTTCGGTAACTGAGCCGCAGCATCCCTCCCTGGAGCACCCCCTTATCCCCCCATCAGCCCCGGCTTGGGTTTCATCTCCCCCATGACTCTGTGACAATGGCTTCTCATGTCCGGAGTTCAGGTGACACTTACAAGGGCCCCATTGAAGAGCTGGGATGTCACCCGATCATCAGGGCTCATTGTCCAGTCCCCCAGGCCTGGAGAAGGATGGAGCCACCTGATCTGAGATACCTGAGCTGCCCCCTGGGGCTGGGGAGGGCCTGAGTGAGTAAGTCCCCCTAGCCTGGCAGGTTCCTCTCCTCAACAGGCCCCGCCATCCTCCCGCTTGTTCCCTGGCCCCTGAACTCAAAGGACCCCAAGAACTTGGCCTTCATCTCCCCCAACACATACGACCCCCAGCCCCTGCTCCCGCTGTACCCCAACAGCCAGGCGGGCAGCCGCACCCCAGGCCCGCAGGCTTCCTCTCCTCCCCGGGAGCTCTGTCTCCAGGGGCAGGGCACAGACTTTCCTCTCTTCCTTCTGCCCACCCACCTGATGGAGCGATAATTCTGCTGAGAAGAGCAAACAAACCGAAGGCAAGGAGAGGCTCACCCCACCGAAGTCACAATGACATCTTAAAGGCAGAAGGGACTCAAAGGACCAAATGAGGCCCCCAGGTTGCTGACAAGAAGCTCTGTGGCAGTGGGGCTCCCCTCCTCGGAAGCCACAGCCCACCTCAGGCTACCATCCCTCCCCGAGGGTCCCCAAGGACCCCCACGACGTCTGTGCTGGGGTGGACAGCAGAGTCAAAGCTGTCGAGACCTGGCCCACTAAGCCCATCAGAATAGCCTGGCAGTGGTAGGCCTTCGAGATCCAGGGTAAAAATAGAGCCAGAAGAAGCCATCCGGGTCCTGTGACCACCCTCCCAGCCCCACCCTCCCAGCCTCTGCCAGGGGAGCCACTGCAGACATCCACTGGGGCCTGCGGAGCCAGCCCAGCTCAGGCTGCTCGCCCTCCATGCCCAAGCCTGACGTCCTGTGGCCGGTACGGGCTGAGGCCACGGGGCACATGCCTGCTTTAGGTGTGCCCGAGGTTCCCACTCTGTAAAATCTCACTGAAAGAAACTACAGTGGGGCTCCCATCTTGCACCTATGTGCACCGTGGACCCCGTGCCGAGCTTGAGGGATCCCCTCACCTGGTCCCCAGCTCACTTCCGCGGTGGGGTCGGTAGGTGCGCTGCCACAATGGGCTCTGAGCTGGAGACTGCGATGGAGACCCTCATCAACGTGTTCCACGCCCACTCGGGCAAGGAGGGGGACAAGTACAAGCTGAGCAAGAAGGAGCTGAAGGAGCTGCTGCAAACCGAGCTCTCCGGCTTCCTGGATGTGAGCACGGAATAGGGGTACAGGGTGGTGTGGGTGAGGGGTGGGAGGACGGGGTGGGCACCTCCCTGCACCTCCCCACCCCACCCGCCGCTCAGCCTCTCCCAGGCTCCTCTACCCTCCCCAGGTCAGGTCAAGACGCACGCACTTACTGATCACCTGGTAAGCACTAGGCCCTGAGCACACTCCTCAGTAACAAGGTTCGCAGTGGAGAAGGGAAAGTAAATCATGACTCCAGGAAGCACAGAGCCTTCACAGAGGTGCCCGGAAGGCCAGGGGACCAGTGACCTGATGCAAGTGAGCTGGCTTCTCTGAAAAGGCAGCAGTGGAGCCCCACACTCCCACTGGAAGACCATGGGGTCACGGAGGACATTTTAGGAGGCGTCTGTGAGAACAAAGAATTTGGAGCATGCCCAGTAGTTCCATTTGACAGGAGGATGCAGAGAAAGACTGCAAATGCTGAGGGGCCACGTATAGGAGCCGCCCTGGGATGCAGCAGAAAGTCCACGGCTGTGGTTTTCCTGCAGTGTGTTCAAATTCTGGCCCTGCTACTTTCCAGCTGGGTGACCTTCAGTACATGTGTTTAGCCAGGAACCATCGATTTGATTGTTCCCTAAAATGGAAATAATGAAAACAACCCCATACTCTTCCCCACTTTGGTGCTGGGTATTGAGCCCAGGGCTTCACTTAAACTACCCAAGTGCTCCACTACTGAGCTATATGCCTTGGCCCTTTTGCTGCTGCTTCTTCTTTTTTTTTTTTTAGTTTTTTGAGACTCAGTCTCACTATGCAGTTCAGGCTCATCTTGAACTTACTCTGTAGTCCAGGCTGGCCTCGAACTTGAGAGGATCCTCCTGCCTCAGCCTCTCAAATGCTGGGATTGCAGGCATGTGCCACCATGGCTGGCTCCCTAGTCCTTTTTATTTTGACGTAGTGTCTCAGTAAGTTACCCAGGCTGGCCTCAAACTTGCAATCCCTGTGGCTCATTCCCAGGCAGGCGCTGTGCTGCTGAGCTATATCACTGGCAACTATATTCCGATTTCTTTTTTTTGGTGGGGGGGGGGGGTACCAGGAATTAAACTCAGAACCTTGTGCTTGCTAGGCAGGCACTGATGACTCATTCCCAAGTAGCTGGGATTACAGGTGTGCACCACTGCACCCACCCAGCAAACTCCATACTACAATTAGACAGTAGCCAGGCTTGGTGGTACATACCTGTAATCCCAGCAGGAGGATTGCTGTGAGGCCAACATGGACTATATAATGAGTTCAAGGCCAGCCGGAACTACAAAGTGAGACCCTCTCTCAAACAAAACAAAACAGGCTGGAAAAGTAGCTCAGTGTGAAGCCCCCAGGTGCAATCCCTAGTACGGCAGAGAAAAAAGACAGTGCCCATAAGGCTGGTAGCGTAGTACTTGTCACACTGCAGACAATCAACCCATGACAGTGAGAGGAAACCTTTCAGAGCTTTCAATGACACAGCCTGCTGCAGCGCGCGTACCATAGGTTCACCACCACCGACATGGTAACTGACGCTGTTATCTGCCAGGTAAAGGAGTCTGTTCTACAGACAACAGAAGCCCAGAGTGCTTCAAAAACACACAGAGGAATGGACGCCCATTCCCTTTCCTACTCATCTCCACCTCACTCTCCTGACCACCCTCCCGCTTGGCCTAGTCACGCGCCTCCCTTACACCTCCCCGCCTCCTCCCCTCCCTCACAGGCCCAGAAGGACGCAGATGCAGTGGACAAGGTGATGAAGGAGCTGGACGAGAATGGAGACGGGGAGGTCGACTTCCAGGAGTACGTGGTGCTGGTGGCCGCTCTCACCGTGGCCTGCAACAACTTCTTCTGGGAGAACAGCTGAGCAGACAGCCCCAGGGCAGCGCCGTCCCCTCACCCCGCTTGCCTCACCCCAGCTATGACTCCCCACACTCCCACCTTTACCTGCCCCCTCCGCACACCAAGGAGCAGGAGTAGCAGCCCAGCGCAGCAACTCGTCTTCATTAAAGGCTCCCCTCGCCAGCCACAGGTGTTTGTCTCCTCCTGGATCTGGAGTGGGTGGAGAAGTGCAGGCTCTGCACTCCAGCTCCTCTTATTTTGGAGCGAGTTCTCATGCGTCGTATCTTCCTACTTGGGAGATTGCTCAAAGCCCGGAAATGGGGGCCCAAGGTTCCAGCTAGGAATGGAAGAAACGTCAGCTTCACAACTCTAAAACCAGAAGAAAGACTGCTTTCAACGCTCCACCAGTACTTACTGAAGTCCTACACGTGCTAGACATGGTGTAGGACGTGGGGGTAGAGCGGTGTGCAAAATAAACACAACACTTGCCCTCACCTGGGTAAAGACAAGCAGTGTTATGGGGCCACCCCCAATACACACACACACACACACACACACACACACCCCAGGAAGGAAATGAGTGACAGGGTCCTGACCGCATCTGGGGCGGAGGACGGGTTGACACTGTGCTCATTCATTCATCCTGCAGACATCTGGGCACCTCATTGAGTATCCTGCGTTCACAAAACATCTCTCTCCCGCTCTGCCCCCAAATCCTCACGGATACCAGGTGGGAGGGCAGACGCAGGAGGGAACAGGCAGGCCAAGGGCCCCCTAAAGAAGGATCGAGCACGCCCAGGGCAAGGTGGGGGAGAGACAGGAGGAAAACGCGGGGGGCGGCATGGCTGGTGCAGGACCCGCCAGGCGCGATCCCGCCCGCGCCGCCGGTTCACCCACTCATGACCGGGAACACGCGACTGGGGAGGGACGAGCGAGCCAGGAAAATCACCCAGTTGCGGTATTTAGGAAGGGACCGAGGCAAGTCCTGCATAAAGATTATTTCATGGGGGCCGAGGGAATAGCAACACTGCTTTTATCCTGACAAAGCCACTTTCTGCGGCCTAAATCATAAGTAACTCCAACAAGTTGCACCGCTACCGCGGATGGAAAACGAAGCCCCCAAAAGCCTCACTCGTGAGGCCACTGGCCACGCCCCTTAAGGGCGGAGCACTGCCCGGAAGTCCAGAAGGCGCCTCGTCTGAGTCCTGCGCAGGCGTACACACATCTTCCCGCGCCCTAGTTGCGCGCGCACCTGACGTCTGACGTACGTGCGTCGACGCCATTTTAGCCGGTCCCATTCCGCATTGGGCGTGGTAGCCATTTTGTTTTGGACATCGAGCGGGAGATCGCCTCAGAAGTGTGGTGTTTCAGACGAAAGGCAGGCAAGGGCAGACCGGGTGAGCAGACGGATCGGCCAGCGAGTAGGGAGCCAACCCGCAACGATCGAACCTCGCCATCTATCACGTACGCCTCAAACCAACCGCCCACCTAGTCAGCCCGAGCGCCTCCGTCGTCCGTTCGGGTTTGGCCGGTCCCCGGCCCGTCTGCCGCAGCCGTGGTGGCAGCCCCGGGAGGAGCACTGGCGTCCGTTTCCTTCGGTGCGTTCCCGGGCTGAGGAGTCAGGGTCCGGTGCGGAGGCGTCGCGGGGCCGGGCGGGGGCGGGGCCG